AGGCAGAGTGTCTCCGATCTCAAATCTTGTTGATTCCCCGACGTTGTGCAAACGCATCTAAATTTGAAATGGATTCGCGAATGAGAATAAAATGCCTGAAGGGAATACATGGAGTGCTGTGAAGTCCCAACTAAATTTGGCCCCTGAGGTGGCCGTTGAGGAATCTTTGGGGCTTTGAAGCGATTGAGAATTTGTTTTCTTTTATGAGACCGCCATCAAAAAGGTTTCTGGCACCTTGGAACGAAACGTTAGCAATTGTCGACATGTGGCGCCAGCTCTGAAAACGATATATTCGTGAGGACACGGAATGACCGCTATAGGGGGAAATTGAGCAAAAACACTTTTGTCGAGGGTTTGGGGTAGTAATAGTTAATGAAAACAGCGCTCAAGTTCTGCCCTCGGTGATCCTGCAGCGGTCATTCTGAAGCGGCAACTAGTAGAGCATAAGGGTATAAAGACCCTCTTGGTATATGTCACGCAATCTATTGTCTTTAGGAACCATAGCGACCCGAAGCGAATTAGCCTATACAATGGCACGGATTTTATTTCAGGCTACATGCGTCGGAAGCGAGATCACTTGCCATTGCACCATCTGCCCTTTAAAGTAAAGATAGAGTCTTCGCCGATGATTAACTCCTTTTTGGAATGGGCACGCATGCTAATTCCATTCAGGAACTCAAAGGTATCGTGAATACGATCGGGCCTATACAATGAGTTGCTGGGGCCAGACGATGTACAAGTCAGTGTTTTATCCTCCCAGCAAGACTAGTACCAATTTGCTCTCCCCTGAAGGTGGAACGCTTTGCTTGGCCTGAACGGGTAGTAATGGCAGTAGCAGTAGTGCCAATGGTACCTGTTATCTTTTTTAGTGTAGGAAACTTTGTGACGCACAGTATCAAATATCAGTCACACCACGTGCAAACTTGTTGGCCACCTCTGTGAGAGAATAAAAAACGCTGACACACTTGGCAACGGCTTTCACAAAACTAAGCTTCTTTGCACTGGAGATTTCTATGTACAGTTTTGCTGAATCCATCTAATGACTCAAATTTTGACTTTCTATTGCTTCGAGGATTCATTTTCAGCACAATATTTCTTTCAGGTACCAGTCTCGGCAGTGATGATACCGATGTGGTCTCAGTGGATATTTATTTCGATCAATGCCGCCTCTCTTCCACTTTACATAGCCATCATTATTGTTTGTGTGAAAGAATGGAAGCATAGCCGTTTGCGAAGAACTTTCTATATGCTCATCGTATCTCAGGTACAATACACACACTCCAACTTCGCGGCTTTTGCTGTGGGGTTTTCGCTTTCTTCTCGAGTAAATGTTGAAATCACGAGTTGCGAACATTGCCCAGGCTTTTGTGCCTCGCTGTTTAGTGAAAAAATTAATCTAAATTAATGTGGTGTAAATGTGTATTGCAATGATGAGGATCTTCAGTAACAACGTGGAAACTCCGGTGAAACTAGAATATGAGGAAAAAACAGAAAATTTGCAGTCATACAAAGCAAAAATGCAGTTCACATAGGGTGTCGTGGATGTTGCGGTGATGGTTAACTATTTTTTGTTCTGGACTCTACGGATATCGCAGTTATTTAATGAGTTCTACTGGACCTATCAAGATTATTATATAGCCACATGGGCTTTCAATCAGACCTACGTATCTGTATTCATACGGTGTTTCGGAGTGTTATTGATCACATTTCAACGATACATTTCCTTGTGTAAAAATGGCTCTCACATTGAGCAGGTATCTTTAGGAAAGCGCACTCTTAGCGACTGATTCTTGACTTGCGCCAAACTTATTCCTCGGCACGAAAAGAAGCTCTCTTTTTTAGATAATCAACGTCTCACATCGTTGGAGTGTTGTAATTGTGCAGTGGAGCGTCCCAATGATCTACTCGATTCCACTTCTGCTTTTCAGCCATGCTACCTTTTTTTCGTTGACGAATCTCGAGGTGATAGTGCAAAAGGAATCCATCACTGTGAGTATTTTTTTCTAGAAGATGCTCTGGAGCATCGCATCATTCGCTGGCTTGTTCACAACAAACACTTCGGCTCAAGGGCACATTTCGCCTTTGGAAGTTATACGAATCATTTTTCAAATGTGAAGTTACAAGTACAAGTATTAGGTTGGCGGGAAAGTTCTGTCACATTTTTTCAAATTAGACTTTCTTTTTACAGAGAGGCGTACAAGATCAAAATTATACAGCAATGTTATTGAGAGATCCTTGCCAGTTTTTGGACAGTTCGTGGATGCCATCGCTTAACAATGCACGCCGGCGCGACGCAAAGTTGGACATCATCTCAACTTTGACTTGGGCTCAAGTCGTGGAGGTTTTCTCGGCTGTATAACGGTTGAATACGGGAGGCGACTAGCAGTCAGAAAGAGCAATGTCTGGACTACACCGGTGCAAGAGCCATCCAGCTCTATTGCATGAAGTACGGCTCGAACTTTTTTGACGGGGTGTGCTGCACCAGCACGTTGAAGACGGACTGTGCCGATGGATTTTGCCCTCTGCTTGACGATTCGCTTCAGATCTCGTAGCTGCCTTGCGTACGGATTGACCGAGGAGGCAGCTTCTTCATCCAGTAGTTTCCCGACCCACCGCTATCTAGAGCTGAGTTTACAGGTACTCCCGAACCTCACTTCGTCATTCGAACCGTAGGCTCCCGCTCTGAAGAGCTAGCGTCGTGGAAGATTGTCTGATGACTGTAGACATTGTCCTTGTGCAGCTCCATTATTTCGGCGTCGACAGCTGCCATGCTGGCGCCAGGGTGGTAGAAGAAATAGTTTAAGGAAGCGCTTGAAGAAGGTAGCGGATAACATTCTTGTCCATAATGCAGAATAAGGATGAGCAGGAGCCGAGCCAGTGACACTAATAGAAAGATCAATCCTTAATGTATAAATGCTCACATTACCGGTTAGCCCTCTTCAGGTAATAGGCGAATACTTGGGTTCAAAAAAGTATGACAGAACTTTCCCACCAACCTAATATTAAGAAGTACAAAGTCGCGCCTGAATGAAGCCAAAAGCAGAGGAAAACGGACCCGAAGAAAAAGTCATAAATAGGGCCCACATCGCGGCAGCTGATTTTGACACGACTCGGAGGTGGGAGAACAGGGGTCAAGGATGAGAGAATAGAAAGATTAGCGATACAATAGACACCAGCTCATGCCAGCTGCCCTTTAATTCGCATTCATAGCTTGCGACCATGAAGAAATGCAGGAATGAAGAAATGCGGAATCTGCGGAAATGACGAAAAGCATTGTATACATATCGATTTGAAGAAATGCAGAAATGCCGAAACTGCAGAAGTGCGGAAAGTGCAGAAATGACGAAAAGCATTACATACGTATCGATCTGAAGCAGAATGCCGAAAGTGAAGAAGTGCGGAATCTGCAGAAATGACGAAAAGCAACCGATACGTATCGATTTTCCGCACTTTCTGGCATTTCTGCAGATTCCGCACTTCTTCACTTTCGGCATTTCTGCATTTCTTCAGATCGATACGTATCTGCAGATTCCGCATTTCTTCATTTCTGCATTTCTTCATGGTCGCAAGCTATGAACGCGGCCTTACTTGCCTAGTTCACCATGTAACAATCCAGTGGTGTGACTCATAGACTCTAAAAGGGGCCTGCATCTGTGTCTGTAAACGCGATCACCTCACGCCTGGACCAATTCTTTGAGTCAGCTAGACAGAAGTGGACCTTCAGTAGGATTGGAATACAAATGATTCGTTTCTTAAGCTCGCCACCTCTATGGCCGTCCTTTTCGTTACTTTCACGTTCATTCCATGTAGTCTATTCTATGTGGCTATACTGAGATTTCTGGTGAAAAACCGGTATAGCAGCGACACGTGAGTTTAAATGGCTCAGCTGCCGACACTGCTACAGGAAATGTTAGTTTACATTTCTCTGACTTACAGATCTATGAAACGGGAACGTAGCCTCCACATTCAAATGTTGGGACTGCTAACTGGATTTGCTCTTTTTCTGGTTTACAACATCGTGCAGTTCACATTTTCGCTCCGCTCTAATGTTAGTTTCCTTTGATGGTAGAATCGAATGTTCTGTGCATCATCCACATGCTACAGGTCTTCTTCAGAGCAGCAATAATGCGGAACATGAAGTTTATTGGCGAGCTTCCGCTATAGTGGCAGCTTTGCTAGACCTTATTGTTGAAATTCAAGCTTACTCATGGTTAGCGCTAAATGCTTAACGGCAAATAAATTTGCCTGAAGTGCATACCATATCAATCTGCCCTCAGCAGTAATCTGCTCCGATTGTGGTACGATTCACACAGCGACTGCAACATTTACTATTCATTTGAACCAGATGAACAGTTATCCTGAACCATGGCTAATGGGAGTAAAGTCACTAAAAGTGCCAGGCGCGTAACGTGTGCAAAGAGTGTGGCATTTATCACTCTCTTGCTTCCATATGGTCCATGTTCGACTTTTGTACTTACCTTCAATTTATTCGGTGTTAAGCATTGTACTGCCACGAACACTTTACTTCATGATTTCAAACTCTTCAGGAACCCCTACTTAGGCGTACGCTCACTTTTAAACTTTGCATGTCCGAGACATCATTGTTATTTCTCTGAGAACCGTGCAACATGGCTTGAAGCGCCGAGAATGACAATTATGTGACCTTTCACCCTGTGCAGATCAAGAAGACCAATTCAGGACGGCCCTATATTCACAATGAGGATCGTGTTCCCTATGGTCAGCTGTTTCTTCTCGTATATAAATGCGTGGATGATGCTGTTTTTGAATGGCGACATACGAGGAAAAGTTCTGCACTTATTGAGGCTCCGAAAGCAGAAATCTCAGGTAAACTGCAATTGCGAGATAGGATTTGCTTCAAGCTGATTGAAAAAAAAGGTGTTGCGAAATAGTATCTCTGAGCTCCTCACGTGCAGGAAGCGAGATTCGAAGCCAAAAGCCCACTATTAAAGGATCCAACGCAATAGCTTGCAATAATCCATCCCCAGGATGGAGGTGGATGAAGAGCAACCAGTACCCAAGTGGACCTTTAGCTCCTTGCGATAGGGCAACCATTAACTGAAGGTCCTCGGCTGATATTCACACTTTCGCAAGCGTACTAGTTTTGTCCTTGTCACGTGTTTTATAAGCAGACAAGCTGTGGTCTCTTGTAGCTTATTCTCGCATTTGCCTTACACTTTGCGCTCTCTTTCCAAGAAATGCTGCCAAGAACTGGGATGAAATATAATATTTCAGGGTTCTGTCAACATGTCGACTTCAGTGAAGCTTTTTGTTACAAATGGTTCTGTTCGTTCTTGAAACATGGAATTACTTTCTGTTCACCGTAGTTCACTGCTTTGTATTTGCATAAAAAGCATTAGAGGACTCAAGTTCGTTGCGTACTCATCTCACAATCAGCTATACGAGTCCTGAGGAAGGTGGGGTTGCACGGGGTGGTGATCGTTATTTGAACATCAAAGAATCCAAGCATATAGCCAGAAACTCTTTTTCCCTGTGCAGTTGTTGCTATGTCAGATAAAGGCATGTCTGTGTTGTGTAGTTGCAGCAGAATGAGTTCCGTCGAACGGCATACAGAGCGAAGGATATGCATATCATCAACAGACACTTCAATTAACGGAAACTTTTTGAAATGGAATCGTTTCATTGAACAAGGTCAAGTAGGTCGGTGTCATAGTGAACGAAATTCAGAGGAACGTGAGGACCGTGATACTCTAGCCGACGTGAATCGCGAAGTCCATAAGTTCAGGAGACTAGCTTGCTTTCGGTTATTTAATCCAGAATCTATTCTAGGACCAAACTTTGTAGGAGCAGATCATCTTGGTGATGCATCGCCCTACCGTAAACTAGTCTACTTAAAACTAAACTAGTTAAAGAGAAAAACAGAAACCATCTCTCTCAGAAACAAACATTCCTTAAAGAGGGAAACAGAAACCAATGACGGTGAAAAGCGGCAGCGCTACATCAAAAAGTGGAGACTGCAGAAATCACGGTGCCCACTGGAAGTGGCATCTGTCAAAAATGATCTGAAGAAGGCACTACGGCCGAAAGATTGGCCGGATAAATATTTGCAAGAAACTAGGACTGCTCTAATCCGAGTTTCTCGAACACATCTCAGTTGTTTTAGTCTTTTGACTTCTTCTCATAATTAAGCACTCTTCTTGTAACATTCAGAACGTTCGCTGCGGCATTAAAGAGCAGGTATCAAAACACTAAAACAACTTCAACGCATGTGAAAGCCTTCTGCATCGCAGCTCACTGCCGATATCGGTTCCCGCCTGCGGTCGCGTTCTACTTCCATTCAGAATCATAGTAGGCTCATTGAATGCGATGTGGCCTATACAATGACTTGCGAAGGCCAGCCGATGTACAAGTCAGTGTTATTATCCTTTCAAATTAGTCTGGCACCAATTTACCGTCCCTGGAGGGTAGAAGGCGCAGGTTGACGTGAGCAGGAGTGAGTCGACCCAGGATTTGAACCTAGGATCGCGCGAGTGGTAAGCGGATTTTGAATGGAAGCCTAATGCATGCCGCACCCACGAAGGGATTGGTCAACGGCGGGTTATCCTCTACAACATTCATAAAAATTTCAAGCTGTTATTGTTAGATAACTGCTGTTTAACGCCGCAGTGCGCGATACGAAAGTTATCACAAGAATGCTGAGTTATGGGCAAAAGTCGGACCACGGACGGGATTCGAACCCGCATCTTCTGCTTACCGGGCAGTTGCGTTCCCTATTACGCTACCGAGGCCACTTTTGACCACTCAGCTCAATGGCTATTTGTTTTGCCCATAACTCAGCATTCTTGTGATTCATGAAAATGTTATTTTTCGTTTTTAAAACTACTCATCATCTTACATGTTGATTTTGACTTTGATTCATCCACATGAACCAACTCGAAAACTGATTTTTTTTGTTATTATTCCCTATGGAAACGCTGGTGATTGTGCATTCGCTTGAGCGTTTTCATAGCACTACTTTCTACTATCACCCAAATAAATTTTCCAAACGGATAATAGTCACATTCCCCGCTCATTACCTCAGAGCTTCAAAGACTAGTTTTGTCGCATGAGCCCTTCTTCTACCGCACAGATTTCATAACGTTCTTATGAATATAAAAACTGTTTCAAGTTACTACAATTTTCACCGATCTCACTACTAGGTCTCAAACTATGGTTCTGAATGTCACGCCTTCTTGACTCTTTATGGTGTAGTGTTATGCTCAAAGTTGACACGGATAGGCACGGCATTACAGCTGTTATGCAAGTTGAAGTTGGACCACTCGGCAGCCTACCCAAACTATCAGCCGTGTCTGGGGCAAGGTCTCAGTCCTTTAAGGAAACGTGCAACATTTGTTCGCAAAGCGCTTCCTTACGAACCAGTGCCGATATTGGACGTGATGTGAACCGCTTTTCTGATCAGTCCTCTCGTAGCCGCAAATCGTAGAATCAAATTCAAATAGTGAAACTCCGATATTCGAACAAGGACTAGCTGTGCGCTGTGTGGGCATCACGAAAATGAAGCAGGAGTGGCGCATGAACTGTAAACGGTTTCAGCGAACTGCTCCCACGTTAGGAAAAGTCCTCCCAATGTATGACAAGGGGTGACGAGAAATTGTTACTGTGCGATTATTGATGCGATACATGTGAGCTCCACCAGATGAGCCTATACATCAGCAACTTTTCTGAAGTTTGATACTGTACAGAAAAAGTGGTGCTATCTGCTCTGTAAAGCCAATATGGCAGTGTGGACCTAAGTTCTTAGAACCAGGTAGGCAGAACCGCTGTGGTGTGATGTGAACTGAGGCACGATAAGCTGCGAGAAATGCTATAAATTGCGATAAAGAGGAACAGGCAAGAACACATCACGCGTTTATTCACGTATGGTGGCCCTACCTCGCCTGTCTAGCAATCCTCCCAGCCCCTGCTCTTCGAACTGCGGTCCTTTCAGACGCTCGACAGTAGCACATATACCATACGAGGGGAGACTGGTGGAAGTTTTCTTGAGTATCGACTTACGTTATGTTTCTGGCTACCATGCAATTGAATGTCGGTTTTCTGTTGGGCCCAAAAAAAAGCGCACTAAGGCCTGAACCTAACGATGACTTGTAATATGGAACAATAATCATATTTATTTATTTGTTTATTTGTTTGTTTAGTTGTACACCACGAGAGTGTGCTGCTGCTACTAGAACAAGCTTATTTCAAATTAAAATTGAGGAAAGTGGAATAGTGCCTAGCATTTTTCTGTAATACCAGAAACTGCCTTCTTGATGCGAAAGGTGCTGAAAGATATTAAGGTCATTTAATCACTGGGGCGATAGTACCCTGCTCTGCGCGATCGATACTGCAGCCAAAATCCACATGTCCTATTACTCTGCAACAAAGCAATTCCTGAGGAAATAGACCTAAAGATAGTCGACATGGGTATTGAATCCATCATTAAAAGGAGCTTATGTGGAGTTTATAACGAATATAGTCGTTGGGATAGAGTGTGTGATTTAACTGTAATTCGCTCGTTCCACTGCTACATCTAGGAAAGGCAGGCCTTGGGATCACAAGGGCATGTGAAATCCCATGCGGGTTCGACGAGTGGATGAGTGAGTGTCCATTACGAAACTTAGTGAAAAACTGGAATTCTCCTTTTCTGCCCTAGCTGGGTGAACGGTGCAAGCAGTGATCAACTGCTTTGTTGATCACCTATCTTACGTTTCATGGGAATGAAAACATTGAAAAAGCATTCTGTGAGAAAATAAGATTCTATGGAAAATATTGAAAACATTCTATGAGAAAATCAACTACTGTGGAATTGTGTGGAAAGCTACAGTATATGCGGGCAAGACAACAACAAGAATG